ATGCACCCCACATTTTAATAGTCATCTCGTCGCTTAATATATTCATTTGTCTGCGGTTTGTACGAGTATGATGTTTTTGGGTTTTCCGATCCGGATTGTGATTCTGATTAACATCTTGATCGATGTTATCTACATTAATTTCTATAATCGGTAAGACATCTCTCATGTACTGGTTGATTATATCGTCATTATTATTGTATATATGTATGAAATTGTGCAACACAGCACACGCAATCGGTATTTGTACATGTTTCTCAATTGGGTAATTATTTATGCACTTAAGTATTCGAAACCTTGCTTTCTAGACGCCAAATGTGCACTCAATACAATTCTTTAGGGACGAGTTGGTGTAGATAAACAACTCACGCTCACTTCGTGGCCAGCCATGCCATGCCCTATAGTTTTGAAGGTGGTTAGTGCTCCCCCGGTATGGCGCCAAGAAACAATCATTGTTAGCGTAACCATAGTCCACCAGGTAATATTTACTTGTAGTGGGCATTACACATCTAAAAGTAAATAGATAAATGTGTTGTGTAGTATCATAAATTAGATTTTGAAGCTATGTTTCCTATAATTTTGGAACCTAACGTTGCATAGTGAGAACATATGTATATAGAAAAGCGACGTCGTTGGGTGGATATGGGAAATTTTTCTCCAATGTCTCCGTTGCAAATGCAAGCACCCGAGCATCGTGGGCAGATCCCTCCCATCCAGCTAACATGTACGTGAACTTCATGTTGAAGGAGCATACCCTTAACACATTTTTAGAATAGAAACCCTTCCTATTTCTCCATACTTCGGGGTTCCCAGGGGGTGGAACGTATGGGACATGACTCCAATCAAGAGCTCCAACACAATTATGCAAATGTTACAAAATACGTAAGCATTTACAATTACGTCCTACACATGCAATTATTATTTTTATTTCCTTGGTAAAAGTAATTAGTTACGTGTAACGAATACTTGAAACCATGAGCAGCAAGGATGAGATCGATTACGTTGAAGCTCAGTGGTTTTATAAAATCAAACCGTAATAACGTCATCATGTCCATCAAGCAAGTAATTGACTCGCATAATACCTGTTATGAAGGACGTGTGCTTCGGTCGAGGTAATGGTCTATCCATGTACTTGTAGTAATACCACAGCACACAAGCGACGACTGCGAGTTCATGTTCATCATCTGAGTCATCGCTATCTTCATTATGGTTTGGCTGATTTGAAGGATCTGCATTATGGTTTGGTTGATTTGAAGGACCTGTATTTCACATGATGTCCTGGGAAAAAGGCATAAAATTCTCCAAGTTCAACAAGTTATAAAACATTGAGGACAACCCCTGAAATTCACAAAGCAATAATAAACATCAAACTTCAACAGTATAAAGAAAGACAACGCATTGCATAACATGCAAATAATATAGTCGAAGTACAACTCAATAGCCAAGGTCCCTAGTGATCCGAATGTGGGACCACGACATTAATGGAAAAAAAAACCACAACAAATGTCTCACTCACCGCTGCTACATAAGAGTACAAATTGTCTATAACAATAACACATAAATGCCATGAAAACTGGAAGAAAATGAAATGATGCTCATCTATTTTTAAAGGAAATAAAAACTAGTCAGATTTGCTCTGGACTTCCGTCTCCACCTAAGGTCCCACTTGAAGGTGGAAAATGGGGCATGTAGTAAGGTGTTTGGGTGCCAAAGTTGGAATTTTGCGGAGTGTAGTTTTGGGACAAGTTCGGGAATTGTTGCGGGTGGGGGTGTGTGTTTGGCGGCTGTGAAAGAAAATTGGGGAGTTGTTGAGGGCCAAAGTTCGGAAGTCTATGGCTAAAATTGGGTGCTTGTTGGCTAAACAATTGTGGGGGTTGCATGAAGTTTGTCCCAGGTGAATTGAAGTTGGGAAATGGAGGTTGCATGAACTGTAAAGGCATTGATGCATTTGGAATGGAGAATGGTGTGGTCGGTTGACTACGGTTAACGTTGATTGTCTTCGTCGCAAAATAAAGCTTGTTGACTCTCCGTCATATCAACGATATCTACTGTATGTTAGGGTACCAGGCAATGGCTTCAACGAATGTCATCACTGTCTCATCATCAAGCACTATTTCCTTAACAATTTGTTAGCACCGCCTCATGACCGCATTGTTTGCACCTTGTTGATTTATACCGGAGCTTGTTTCGTAGCTACTATGTTTGCTTTCTATAGAAGAAACAAGTCATCATATAAGAGCCTTTACCTCGGGGTCCCCAGCCACCCTTCAAACGTTGCGGGCCGGTCTCTTCCCAATGGCCTTCGAAGCGAAGGCTACGTTCAAACCTCTTTGTGTACTATTCAACCCCGCTTGCATTGTATTGACGAAGCCATCGTCGCTGCCTAAGGACTGCGATGCCGCAGCCCCTTCTTTCCAGATTAGGATCGTGTTTTCTTGTTCAGTTTAGGGTCTTTCCAATCTCACCTCGAAGGTCATACTTGCCCGCGTACCTCCAAATGCCTCGTAGTACAACTCAAAGTTCTTCAAGGGTTGATGTTTGGCGAACTTTGCCCATTTCTTGTTCTGTATGAAAAAGAGAACATAAAATTATTAGGGCAAACTCATTATTACTTGCATACAATCATAGATTCGTTGGAAGGAAACACTATTTTATCTTAGTAAAATCTTGCCAATATTCATCTGTACAAGTCACAGCCCTGGTCGCAGGGTCCCAACCTAGTCCCGTGTTCATGCGAAATAGTTGCTCATGATCAAACTTTCCCTTCAGCCGCACTTTCATCTGCTGCACCTTAGCTGGGTTACATGATCCTTAAATAATTTTGAAGCTCATTAGCCCAATCTTCCCAGGTTTTCGAATCGGGCTTCCAACTCGTGTACTTACGATTGTACGATGCCAGACGCTGAAGCAACTCCTCCTTTTGATTTTGCATCCAATGAAGAGTGGAGTCCTCATCATTTTTGCCTCTCGGCATCTGATAGAACACACCAACTTTAAAACGATGCACAAGAAGAGGCCACATGCGAATAGAACAAATGGAGAAACGACGCAAGAAAAAAAGTACAAGTTTTTATCATCTTTTTAGAGTTGTAACGAATTGTCATCTTTTCATTCAATTTCATCACAGCCCTTACACAAGTTTTTATCAAAGCATAAGTACTGCCACCCAAAGACAATGAAATTGGAGAAGGGAAGTATTCGAACAATAGGCTAGGCTCAGAAATGCTTTTCAATGTGGACTCTTGTTTTACTGTTGGTATGTTTCAATGACTGAACCTAAAGCACCATGTACTAAGTCATAGTGTGCTAAGTGCTAACAAAGTGTCTAACGTATGCATTTACATTTAAAAAAATTATTCAATATCTGTAACATTTAACTAACATTATGTGGCGTAGTTTGTTTTATTATATTCTGCAGATTATTGATGGGCATGATCTTTTGAATGAAAGAACGAATACTGAACTGAGATATCTTAAGAAGGTAAGCCTAATGTGGACTCTTTACATACTGGCGTGCAAGAAGTTCTAGGCATATGCCAATGTAATTATAATCATTTGTATGTATTTCTGTTGGAAGTATTTTCAGGTAAAAAAATTACAAGTTCAACGTTATGGACCTACATAAGCCAATGTTATTAGTCTTTTGTGTATTTTACGTGTATCTGTTAGAAGTTCTGTTTCTGTTGAAGATGTTGGTAAACACATGTCTTATAACTCATAACTACTGTATGTCGGGAAGGAAATTTGCATCTCAAGATTTGCCAAAGTATTCCAACGACAAAACATGCTTGATACCATTGATCTCAATTTCGATTGTCAAAACTTCGTATGAAGAGCTTCTAATAAGTCACACAACTACACAAAATTATGAAGAGGCAATCATACAACTTCATTTCAAGAATTTAAATTAACATGCTATACGTGTAGTGTAAACGACATCCAACTAAGGGAAACTCACTAAAAATGACGATGACAACAGTTGGCAGTGTAATCATCCACCGGCATGTGCAGAGGCAATGGAAGAGTAAATTAGTATGGGAAAGGTCTTACCGTGTTTGATCCGGTAGAAGATAATGGTTGATCTGCTTCGACAACCCCCAAACGCACTGTGATGGACGTCGTTGAGGATATGGATACTGGCACCGACAACAGAAAGCTCTATTCCTGGGAGCACGCTTCGGAGGTTGGAGATGACGTTTGGCGCTACATCGACTCAAGATCACGGTCAATGGAGGACGCCTGTTCACTCGCGTGGGATCAATTTCTCCCGTGTTGAATCACGTAAGGACACGACCGAGAAAGGAATCTAGGGATCGTGATTCCCCAAAATTGGCCATCTGGGATGGGTTTGAATGGGATGTACCTGTGAGGATCTTCACCGGGGATGGGTATTTGGTGGATGGAGCGATTTCACAGCGGACCCTCCAAGAAGAACACGCTGAACACGTGAATGGAGTGCTGCCAGGTTCAAAGCTCGAATCGTTGATATTATTGAGAGGAATATGCAAGCTTTTAGCAGAGCAGAGCAGAAACTTTCTCGTAAGAGAGGCAGCAATACTGTAGAAAATAACTCGAGTAATGCGAGTTCGACGGGTGGATGAAGTTTACTTACCCGAGTTATTATTTGAATTTTAAATGCAAGTTTTGGTTCCTAAATGCGTATTTCAGCTCAAAAATAAACTCGAGTTAAACTTATTCAAGTGTAATTCACGTGAATACTTCTTTAGTAATTAACGCATTAATTATAACATTAAATTGAATATGCTCAATTTAATATGTACTACAGTTTCCAAAAAAAAAAACAAAAAAACAAAAACAAAAAAGCCGGCTTTGCTTTGGTTCGGGGATCTCATCTCACAAAATCTGCCGTGTCCACCTTCCCCATTAGTGGGCCCCAGAAGGTCACCACATCCTCCTTCCAAACAAAGTGGGCCCCACAAATAGTCCGTACGCTAATAGAAGGAATCGGACCCAGTCCAAACCCGCCGTACTCCACACGCAGAGGGCTGATGACCAATCTCTCCTTTCTCAAACGTTTTTCAACCTCTTATCGATCAGATTCTCTCTCTCTCTCTCCTTCTTCTTCTCTCTCTCTCTCTAGTTGATTTTTATTATTTTTTTATTTAAATCACAGAATTCCTAAGTAGAATTTCCCTGATTTTGAATCCCTCACCTAATATTTCCTTTTCTTCAAAATCTGCCCCTCGTTTTTCAACGTCGAAACGGCGCCGTTTACCGTCTTTGGATTCTTTGGCGTGTATTTCTTCTCTAGTTGATCGTTTTCAATTTGAGGCCTGAAATTCAATTCAATGCTCTTTTCTTATTTGCGATTTTGGTGTTGTAATTTGAAGGCACGAGCTTTTTTGATGGTAAAACTCCATTGAATTTTCCCCTGAGAACTCCCAAGTTTCTGGAGGTAAAAGTTATCCGATGTTTGTTCAAAATGTCATTTTTTTTATTTTTTATTTTTGATTTGGGATGATTATGCAAATCCTCATGTAATTTAGGGCTGTTCTCAGCAATTAATATTGAACTTCTCTGTTGCTTTTGATATAGTGAAATATAACGGTCTTTAGTTTGTGTTTTACTCACTTTGAAAAACTAGTCTATGTTAGTGTCTTGCTTTATGTCATTTTCTTTGTAAATTCAGGAGCAAAAAGAGGGGAAAAAAAAAGAAGAAAAAAAATCCCATTATATAGGCCATACAATATGGCTGATTTGAGACTGTTGCTTTGATTTGTAATGGGCAATATTGTTTCATGTGTTGCAGAGAAGCTTTATCTTGTTTATGATTTGTGTACGCGTTTATATGTGTAAGAATCTGATTATGATTTGGTATACAATTTGGAAGAAGGGAATTTTGCTTGAGTTAAGACATTAGTGAAAAATGCACTATTGCCTCTACGTTTATCATGCTAATTCCAAAATGCACTGGTCATTACACAAAATTTTGAAATAAGGACATGTATTAACTTAAGATAAACAGAAGCTGTATATTTAACCTGGTTAAAAGAGTTTATGGTGATATTTCTCGCATTATGCAATCTAAATTTTAGAATTCAGAATTTATTATTTATTACTTTGGAATAGAATTTCTTTTTTTTTTTTGCTGAAATTTTGTTTAATATGCAGTCTGTTTCAACATGTATCATGCCAAAAAGTTTTCGACTGTGAGTTTGGTGCCACATAAAGGTCAAAGTTCAGAACAACCTGAAAATTCCGGGGGTTTGAGTAGCTCTGCAGTGAAAAATTCAACACCTGCTGGAGGAAGTGGAAAGCAACGGCTGCGATGGACTTCAGATCTTCATGACCGTTTTGTGGATGCCATTACACAACTTGGTGGACCAGATAGTGGGTATTTTCTTTTAAGTAACATTTACAGTATGGTTGCAGTTTTACTTTTTTGCTTAAACTTGAAACTTGTGAACTTATGTCGGTCTTTCTTTAGTCCTTGTCTCCTGAGAAATATATAGAGTTTCTGTTGCAGCTTCACTTAGAAATTTAATTTTATGTACACGGTGAATTTGGTAGATATAATCTAGATTGACATTTCCAGTCCGCGTGCCCAATTCTGAAAGCTGTTTAATGATTATTTAAGATACTTAGTTTAAGAATGTAAAAAAAAAAAAAAAAGAGAAAGGATTAAACTAGACTGATTTTTTAACTTTTGAACAGACTTTGCAAAATGATTTTCATTTATAATCTTTTAAATGGATTTCAGAATGTCAAATGTACAAACTTACGGGCTACGGCTAGGTCTATGATATGTGGTTTAGCACCAAATATAGATTTGTAGTAGGTACATTGCAAACTTTTAGCCTCAGACCAAAAGTATGTTGTTTTTTAGTGCTGGAACTTGCTGCGTTGAAGGGTAACTCATTGCAAAACTACTGGAAGCGGCTCACTTTTAGTGTTAGCTCTTTTTTTTTTTCTTTTTCTTTTTCCTTTTCTTATTTATTTATTAAGAGAGAAAATGAGAGAAAGGAGCAAAGAGGAAGAGTTATCCTCTTCAGAACTTCTCCAACTATACACGAGGATACAGAATTAAAATTAAAACAGAATTAAAACAGACTACGACTAGGACAGGGCTATAAAAAGGGACCCCAAGTCCTAACGAAATCCGAAAAACTTGGTTTCCAAACTCCTTATCTCCATACACCTACAACCGCACCCAATACTTCATTTTGTCCCAAACAATATTTTCATTCTCCCCTTGATCCTCAAAGATTTAGTTATTCCTCTCCAGCCATAAACCCCAAAAAATTGCTAAAATTGCTGCTCTCCATAAAATCAGTCCCCTTTGACTAAATCCAGAAGGTGGAGAGAAAACCAACAAATCAGCATAGCTCCCCGGCAACACCCATGGAAAACCAAACTCCTTTAGGAGGGAAGAACAAATCCTGCGAGAGTAAGAGCAATGAAGAAACAGATGATTAGTTGTCTCCTCGTTGGCCCTACATAAATAACACCATCCTGGTGACAGCGAAATAAACAGACTTCGATGTTGCAAAGACTCACGAGTATCCACTTTATTGAGAGCTAGAAGCCAGCAGAAAACTCGAACCTTGGGGCATGTGATTTCCATATCTAATCTAACAATGAGTCAAAGCTCTTTTCTATGGGGCTGAAGCGTAGCAGTCCCTACACTTAGCTCCTTTTTTATTTTTGTGTGATTTTTTTTTTTTACATTTTAACTTTTTTGCGTTCTTATTTTTCACGTGTTCTTATTTTATTTTTGGTTGGTTAATATAATTTTCTTCAAATGTGTCCCCACTTAATTTTTTCGTCAATTGTTATCTTTACACATATTTCTTTTTAAAATAAATTCAAAAATCCTTAAATGGTTGTATAAATGAATTTCTCATTATTCGGTAAACAATAAACTCTTCAGGTGGCTCTAACACGATAATATGTGCGGAGCACGTTACGAAACTAGTATTTTCAAAAAACAGAAATCCTGGAAATGAGGAGTCACTAACCAATGAGGAGAAAAGTGATTTGACAGAGAACAAACCACTATAATCCAGCACCCACTCCCTTCTGTCCTGTGTAAATCTGAGAATCCTAACCTGCTCCACTGTAGCAATTAACTCCAACACCTCCCTCATTTCCCTGTCCGTTAAGTTCCGTGAGAAGCTAAAATCCACGAACTAACTCTACCATCCTAGGAATCCAATTCAAGAGCAAAATTAGCAACTGGCTGATCCTTCAAAGATGAGATTCTATGTATGTGGTAATTTGAGAGGAAAAATTGAAGGAAAATTTGTATTTTGCATGACAATTACAACTGGTTTATATACATGAGCCCTAGCCTTTAGAAACGGCAATCACATCCCATAATATGTGAGATATCACACTAAAAAAGGAAACGAACCAAATTAACCTAATTCTAGGGAAACTAACTATTATATTCAAACTTTCCTAATTTAGTCTATACACGTGTAAAACACATTCTTCCACACTCTTCCTCAAGCTGGTGAATAGGTATTCACCATTCCCAGCTTGGATACAAAACTCTCAAACACTGAACTACTTAACCCCTTGGTGAGTATATCAGCAAGTTGGATACATAAGGTGTACAAATCAGTCCACTATCCAACTTTTCTTTGATGAAGTGTCTGTCAATCTCGATGTTCTTCATTCGATCATGCTGCACCGGGTTATGAGCTATGTTGATTGCAGATTTGTTATCACAATAAAGTTTCATAGGGTCGTCCCACGTAATCTTCAGATCCTCTAGAACAATCTTCAACCATAGTAGTTCACACAGACCCTGAGCCATTGCTCGGTACTCTGCCTCAGCACTAGACCGTGCTACCACATTCTGTTTCTTACTCCATGTCACCAGGTTTCCACCAAGGAAGCTGCAATAACCTGAAGTTGATCTTCTGTCAACAACTGAGCCAGCATAGTCAGCATCTGTGTATGCCTCAAGAACTAACCCTCCATTCCTCTTGAAAAGGATGCCTCTACCTGTGTCCCTTTGAGATATTGCAAAACTCTGTATGCCACTTGCAGATGAACTTCTTTTGGATTGTGCATGAATTGACTGATCACACTCACCGCATACGCTATATCTGGCCGAGTGTGAGAAAGATAAATGAGTCTCCCCACCAACCGTTGATACATCTCTCTATCCACCATAGCATCTTCTTCTGCCTCTCCAAGCTTGAGATTCGGTTCTATTGGAGTACTCACTGGTTTGCATGCTGTCTTGCCGGTTTTTTTGAGTAGATCTGTAACATATTTCTGTTGAGAGATGAAAATGCCTTGCTTAGAACGAGCCACCTCAATCCCAAGGAAATACTCCAATCTTCCTAACGTCTTGATCTCAAATTTCTTAGCTAAACATTGACTTAGAAGTTGTCTCTCCCTATCATCATCACCGGTCACAATTATGTCATCAACATACACCAATAGGGCTGTAACTTTACCTAAAGGTGAGTGTTTAATGAACAAAGTGTGATCTCCTTGACTCTGCCTATATCCCATAGCTGTCATTACTCCAGCAAACCTCCCAAACCATGCTTGCGGTGATTGCTTAAGTCCATAGAAGGACTTTTTTAGTCTACATACTGTACCAGCAGTCAACCCTTTATTATAACTCGGTGGAACTTCCATATAAATTTCCTCCTCCAGTTCTCCATGCAAAAATGCATTATTGACATCAAACTACTGCAAATCCCAATCACCATTAGCTGCTAGTGACAATAAAACTCTAACAATGTTCATCTTTGCAACCGGAGCAAACGTTTCTTGATAATCAATCCCATAGGTTTGAGTACAACCCTTGGCCACCAACCTAGCCTTGTATCTTTCTATTGATCCATCTGCTCAATATTTTACCATGTAAACCCATTTACACCCTACGGGTTTCTTTCCTTCAGGTAACTTCACTAACTCCCAAGTTCTGTTCATCTCCAACGCCTCCATCTCCACATTCATAGCTTCCTTCCATTTTTCATTGGTTAAAGCCTTGGATAAATTGGCAGGGATGGCAATGATGTGTAAGCTGACAAGGAAGGCTCTATGGAATGGTGAAAAGTGTTTAAGGGACAGGAAATGTGCAAGAGGGTATAGGGGTCGGTTTGTGCATTCTCTAACTCCTTTCCTGATAGCAATAGGGAGGTGATTAGAAATTGTTACCTCATTCTCAGGATTTAGGTTGGAGTCTTGGACTTGCACAGATTCAGGGACAACCTTCTTCCTTCTCGAGAACACTTTGCCTTTGCCAAATCACACACTATCAAGGGCCGGATTTGTAGGTGGGTTTACAGGAGGCTCTGGATTTGGATTTTCAGTGGGCTCGGTGGGAGGAACATTTTCAGTAGGCTCGGTAGAAACATCCATGGGACTAGGCTATCTTGACACAGGAAGTGGTGAAGATGGCAAATCAAGAAGCAAAAAATCTGCCTTATCCTTATCTTCTATTATTGAATTCTCCCCCTGAATATAAGGAACAGTGAAATAGGATTCTTGTTTCATAGAAGGTCACATCAGCTGAGACATAGAACTTTTTTGATGGGGAATGATAGCACTTATACCCCTTTTGAGTTGAAGAATATCCCACAAACACGCATTTTAATGCCCTTGGATCTAATTTTCTCCGGTTCTGACTATGAACATGAACAAATGCTACACACCCAAATATGCGAGGAACAAGATTATTTGTGGTGTGTAGGTTTGGATTGGACTTGGAAAGGACATCCATTGGACTTTTAAATCCTAGGACTCTAGAAGGCAAACGATTTATGATATGGGCGGCTGTAAGAACTGCTTCTCCCCAAAAAGATTTAGGCGCATTTTTTTGAAACAAGAAGGATCTTGTTGAATCGAGGAGATGACCATTCCTCCGTTCTGCTACTCCATTTTGTTGTGGAGTGCTCACACAAGAGGACTCATGTACTATTCCTGCTTTCTGAAAGTATGGAGTTAGGACTTGATTGAAATAGTCCTTAGCATTATTCGACCTAAATCTTTTGATATTGACCCCAAATTGCGTCTTTATCATAGAACAAAAATTTGGAAGAACAGTGTTGACGTCGGATTTCTGTTTGAGCAAAAAGATCCAGGTGACTTGAGTACAATCATCAATGAACGACACAAACCATTTAGCTCCATTTACAATGAAAATAGTGGAAGGACCCCAAATATCACTGTGAATAAGATCAAAAGGAATGGAACTTCTTTTATTACTGATTGGAAAAAATACACGTTTGTGTATCAAGTTCACAGACTTCACAATGAAAATTTTCAACCGCTAGACCCTTAAATAAAGAAGGAAACAAAAGTTTAATAATCCTAAATGATGGATGCCCAAGTCTGCGATGATGAAGCCAGACTTTTTCTTT